CTGAGACACACTGATCCACCACTGCCACGACACTGGACTGAGACACACTGATCCACCACTGCAACGACACTGGACTGAGACACACTGATCCACCACTGACACGACACTGGACTGAGACACACAGATCCACCACTGCCATGACACTGGACTGAGACACACTGATCCACCACTGACACGACCCTGGACTGAGACACACTGATCCACCACTGACACGACACTGGACTGGGACACACTGATCCACCACTGCCACGACCCTGGACTGATACAAGACTGACACTGACACTGGACCGATACACAGTGATACACACTGATCCACTACTGACACCGACACTGGACTGAGACACACTGATACAGCACTGACACGACACTGGACTGAGACACACTGGTCCACCACTGACACGACACTGGACTGAGACACACTGATCCACCACTGCCACGACACTGGACTGATACAAGACTGACACTGACACTGGACCGATACACAATGATACACACTGATCCACTACTGACACCGACACTGGACTGCGACACACTGATACAGCACTGACTCCGACACTGAACTCATTCACACTGATAAAGGATTGACACTGACAATGGACTGAGACACACTCATACAGTACTGACACTGACACTGGACTGATACAGTACTGACAGTACTCCCACATTGACTCACACTGACACATTAATACAGTACTGATAAAGACTGATACTGTACAGACACAGTACCAACTCAGTAATACAGTACTGATACTGTACTGATACACACAGATACAGTACTGACATACTGACACAACACACTAAAGATCAGTTGGTTCAGTATTTTTCCACTGTGTGCATGGGTCTGTGTGGTTTTTACCCTGGTTTACAGCAGGTATATTTAGTATATTTAGTATATTTAGATTGACTCCTGCAGCTTCCGGTTCGGTCATTATTCGCTAATTATGACTTTTTCCCCTCTATTTTTGTTTGTTGTTGAAGGAGAAATAAAACTGACTGACCTGTATCTCACGTACCCTGTGCTGCACTCCCATTGGCTAACAGCCAAGTTGACGGCCTCGGTGCACCCAATGGGGAGTGGGCGTTAAGTGTGTTGTCATGGAGACACCGCTATTGGGCGGAGTCCCCGTGGCCTGAGAGAGGGTGTGTGTGTGTGTGTAGGGGCTCAGAATGAGGTCATTGGCCAAACCAGGACTCAGTTCACCCACTAAAGAGTGAGGTATATAAGGCAAAAGGGAAGGAGAGATGGATGGCAGACTGAAGAGAGACATTGTGAATATCGGGAGTGCTCTGGAGAGACAAGCGAACACAGCACTCCATGAGACAGCCGTTCTGCTCATGAAACGCCTGGACAGGTGTGGCCCATCTGTCCGAGACCTCTGGTACTGACCCCAGCATGGAGTCCATATCCCACCAAGCCAGCTGCTCTGGGCGGCAGGAGGACCTGCCCGTCCAGGATGAAGCCCAGCTGGATGTCCTCGGGCGCTGGGCTGGGAACAGGCCCCTGTCAGTTTGGGGCAGAGCCAGGGCAGCCTGCCGGTGAGTGACA